GAAGGTGAACCTTCGGCCCAGTCTGAGGTCCTGAGCACTCTGGAGGAGGTTTTCTTCCAGGATATATCTGTACTTGGCCGCATTCATCTTTCCTTCAATTGCAACCAGTCGTCCTGTCTCTGAAGCTGAAAACCACCCCCATAGCATGATGCTGCCACCACCATGTTTCACTGTTGGGATTGTATTGGGCAGGTGATGAACAGTGCCTGGTTTTGTCCACATATACCGCTTAGAATTAATGCCAAAAAGGTCAATCTTGGTCTCATCAGACCAGAGAATTTTCTTTCTCATAGTCTGGGAGTCATCGTGTGTTTTTTTAGCAAACTTTATGTGGGCTCTCATATGTCTTGCACTGAGGAGAGGCTTCTAATGGGCCATAAAGCCCCGACTGGTGGAGGGCTGCAGCGATAGCTGACTTTGTGGAACTTTCTCCCTTCTCCCTACTGCATCTCTGGAGCTTAGTCACAGTGATCTTTGGGTTATTCTTTACCTCTCTCATCAAGGATCTTCTCCCACGATTGCTCAGTTTTGCTGGACGACCAGGTCTAGGAAGAGTTCTAGTCATCCCAAACTTCTTCCATTTAAGGATTATGGAGGCCACTGTGCTCTTAGGAACGCTTAGTGCTGCAGAAATTCTATGGCAACCTTGGCCAGATCTGGGCCTTGCCACAATTCTGTCTCGGAGCTCCTTCGACCTCATGATTCTCGTTTTCTCTGACATGCACCGTGAGCTGTAAGGTCTTATATAGACAGGTGTGTACCTTTCTTATCAAGTCCAATCAGTTTAAATAAACACAGCTGGACTCCAATGAACGAGCAAAACCATCTCATGGTTGATCAGAAGAAATGGACAGCATGTGACTGAAATATGAGTGTCACAGCAAAGGATCTGAATACTTATGACCATTTGATATGTCAGTTCTTTTTTAAAATAAATGTACAAAGATGGAGTGCTGAGTGTACATTAATGAGAGCTTTTTCATTTTAGCAAATGGCTGCAATGAAACAAAGAGTGAAAAATTTAAAGGGGTGTCCATACTTTCCGTACCCACTGTGCATGGCATTTAGCACAAATGATGAGTAATATCAGCTTTTCTTCCTTGATGTCTTTCAGTCAAACTCTGCATGTCCTGTAAGTGTCTGTCAGCTGACTAAAAAGGCTTTCTGTTCGTTTAGACTATTTTTTTTGTGGTAGCTGAATCTACAAATTTGCCAATGTGTGATGTCAGTGTTTAGATCTTACATGAATGACAAAATACCTTTTGTTATTAATCTAACCCTGTTACTCTCATCCTGTTGATTGTGTTAACAACAGAATTGTTTCACTGAAAAAAAAATATTACAAGTTTAAAACAAGCATTTGGGCTTTCTTTCCTCTTTCTGGGCAAATCCGGTAAACTCAATACTTCAGATGGGAAGTGTCTATGAAAAGCTCTCTTGTCTGTCAAAGAGTTAGTTATTAAGTTTGAGTCTGGGCTTAAAGTCTTTAACTTAAGAAGAACTTGCAGGTAGAAGCTTTGATGGAATCTGCTGCTAATGGGTGAGGTGTCACCAGTGTGACGTTGGTACAGTTCTAAAGTAATCTTTTTAATTAACTAACAACATAAACCAGATTTTTATGCCTAACCTGGGTTAAGAGAAACTTCTTGGCATCCCATTTTTTTAGCAGCAGGTTTTGCAAATATTAGACTACGACAGCAAAGGCTGCTGACCTAACAATATTTGGTTCACTTAAGAAGAAAAGGTTTTAATGAGGATTGTGGAAGGGAGTGGGGATTTATGTAAAAATTGTTTTACTTCCTCAAAGAAATTCATTTCCTTGTTTCACCAACAGCTTATTTTCTTCTACTATTCATATTCGTCTGTACAAAAACAGTCATCTTTCATTAAAGGACCTTTAATGGGTCAGGTTTGTCCTACTCTGGTAGCTCATTTTACAAATATACATAGGTGATATTTTATTGATGTGACACTCCTTTTTTCATGTGACTACTGTTTTTGGACTGAGTTTATCTGTTCTCCGCGATGCAAATCACTCTAATCAACACAAACCAAAAGTCAGTCGAGAACATTCTGAAAATTCCCCTGACTTCATCTCTCTGGAATTATTTAAACAGGAACAACCATCATAGATATGCATATGACCAAAAATAATGAACCCGCATAAGCATATTGCTGCAAAGAGCAGTAAAAATCCTTTAAAATGTATAGTACACAAAGTATGGTACCATTTTATATGAATGTATAGTTGATCAGATTTTTTTTTAGGTTCTCAATATGTCCTCTCTTTTAGTCAGGATGGCATTACCAAAGTCAGTAAAGCTTGCCGTTGTTCTTCTGGTGGTATGCTACACTCTGGAGGAGCAGGGATTTAGACAGTCTTTGACTACCTTCTTTGAGGTAAGAATATGAATGAATATATGAGGTCGTAGTTCTTACAATTTGATACTAAAATTGGTCAAAGTATTGGTTTTACATATGAATATATAACTGGGATTGCTATTGTACATATTTCCTATTTATAGACTGGTAAAATGTTCCATCTACTGTAATCTATGATTATTGCAGGAAATGATGGGTACAAAAACGTCCACTCTTCATAGCAGAGAAAAAAGACAAAGTGAGTCACTAAAAAGGAACTTTGAGTTTTTCTCATATCCTTTACTTGTTATGTTTATCCCTTCCTATTTTAGCTCTTACAAATGCTTCAGATTTTGAACTCCAAGTTCTTATAACACAACCTTATGATATTTTCTGTGCAGTTATGTCGACAACAACAACTGCAATACCAAACACAACCACACCACCTCCTGCAACACCAACAGGTATGCTTCATCATTCTTAAGGATAACAGTAAGCATATGAACATTTCAAAATAGCTAAATGTATAGCCAAATGCTGAAAAATACCCAGTGAATAGGTAACACTTTTACAGCTTGGGTGGATAAGCAGATATATTTTTATCTTTTAAATACTGTTGATGATAAACTGCCATCATTCAGATTAAGGAAGGTTCA